ACAACATTGATATTTCACACCACAACCATTTTAAAAATCATTTTCAGAAAGCCAGGGTGATTCAGGTAAATGTACTAATTCATTATTACATCGGTAATATTTTGGAAAATGTAGATTGACATTATCAGTGAATAAAAAACCAATCACCCCTTCCGAGGCACATGACTGTTTTGTTTTGCACATGTAAAAAATTCTATTATCGATAGCTTATCATCGCTTTATCGATTTCGAGGCCAGCTTATGCCGAAAAGATAACCATAACTTAACGATTATCGTTATCATCACAATTTATAATCGCTTATTCAATCATGTACTTATGTGTATTTTGGTCTGTGAAAATCTAGATAATGCGATGTATTTAAGAGAATTATCGATCAGTTATTTATTGATTATCTTGATCGCCTTCGTACCAGTTTATAGATTATTCCAGACCCTGGGTCCATAGGGAGCGACATTAGAAAAATTACAATGCATCTTGTGCAATAATTTCGTTTGGGATTTTTCAAAAGTATTGTAACATTTTTATATTGTCACTAACTTTATAACCGAATGAAAGGACAGAACAAGAGGCACACACGTATAAAGCACATTTCAATACAAATACATAACAAGATACTTTTAGATAATGAATCAAACTGCATCATACAGATGTTTCATCCTTATAGGACTCGTCAGTGATGCTACATCCTACAGCTGTTTCGTCCTTCTAGGACTCGTCAGTGATGCTACATCCTACAGCTGTTTCGTCCTTCTAGGACCCGTCAGTGATGCTACGTCATACTGCTTTTCGTCCTTCTAGGACTCGTCATTGAGGCTACATCCCACAGCTGTTTCGTCCTTCTAAGACTCGTCAGTGATCCTACGTCATACAGCTGTTTCGTCCTTCTAGGATTCGTCAGTGATGCTGCATCATACAGATGTTTCGTCCTTCTAGGACTCGTCAGTGATGCTACATCATACAGCTGTTTCGTCCTTCTAGGATTTGTCAGTGATGCTGCATCATACAGCTGTTTCGTCCTTCTAGGATTCGTCACTAATGCTTCATCATACAGCTGTTTCGTCCTTCTAGGATTCGTCAGTGATGCTACGTCATATAGCTGTTTTGTCCTTCTAGGACTCGTCAGTGATGCTACATCATACAGCTGTTTCGTCCTTCTAGGACTCGTCAATGAGGCTATGCACCTAATGTTGAAATCTAGGAGGTGATCGTGGAGAATCACAATTGTCACAATTGGTCATCGTGAAAAATAACAATGGGTCGAATTTAAATTATACTATAAGGCGGATAAGTGAGTAAATTAATCAGCTGGGAATTTTATTTTATAATGCGAATTGACATATCAATAAATATTGCTAACGATTTTTAAAAAAGTGAAAATATTGAACTAGTATTCCAAATAACAATCGATGTCCAGGCGTTCTATTAATTAAGATTAATGAAATCTTGTACACCGATTTACTTTACTATTATGGAAGTGATAACGAATATAAAACAGAATATGACTTTTCTGGACTTTTGAAATGCACACAAACATGTAGATTTTCTTGTTTCTTTCTACAATTATTGCTAGAATGTTGATCAAGGTATGGGTTGCTTACTCTCTTGTCATAAGAAATTCTATTAGAACGTCAGAATAATTCTAACTATCTGTAAAAGTTGTTGAAGTGGTTATCTCTACCTTATTTAATAATTAATGAGGCTACCGTCACTCTGGAACTTTAAAGCACTAAACCAATGCCTATCGAATAGATGGTGTTTATTTGTATATAGTGTAGTCTACCATCGTAATTACCAGATCAGACGTCTTCCCGACGTAAGGTACAATGCCACCCCGAAAACAAGTGTCTCAGACAATCATTATTACTTGTTTGTTTGTTGAAGATCGCACGATATGTTTACATTATCCCCATGACTGGTTACCAAATCCTGGACAATCAAAGTCAAGAAGTCCTCTGTTACAGGGGTCAAGGAAAACACCGGAATGGCTCGCCAGTATATTCCGTGCTATTGTTAATTTAGCACAACAGACACGGTATGTACCAAACACAGTATCCAAATACCACGGGATTGTATAGGTATTCAAAAATAGATCGATTGAGTTGTTTTTGACTGCTACAAGGATGAATTATTGATCAACATAGTAATAAAAACAGTGACTCCGAGAAGATGTAGGCCCAGTGCTCCAAGCCCTTACATCGTTGCTGTGTATGGTAATTATCCTTTGTAGTAAGAGAGGGAGCTGAAATAATAATGATGAACAACTGTGTTTAATACACTGACACATAAAAGTCTGTATTTAATATAGCACTGTAGAGAACTAGACTCCATTATCTCAGAAAATATTGATACGTCGAGAGAATCTTAATTCAAACACCAAATCGATGACAGGAAGGCAAACAATGCACAAAGAAACAGTTACTCGGAGAGCCTTAAAACCATGCATGATTTTTCCCGAATGGTGAGCGTCATCATCTTTATAGATGACACTCGTCCTCAGAAGACACAAACGACATCAGCAAAAGAGTTGTCGGGTGGCGTAGTGGTAATGCACTCGCCTTTCAATTCTGGGGTTGGATTTTCCGCACGGACGTTAAAAGGTAGGGTGTCACCTGCCAACCACATAGGTTTCCCACGAGCACTTCGGTTTCCAACAACACAAAGATCACTCTCTCGTTTACGTCTAGGACAACAAGAGTGGTTAGCAATCGGTTTAGTTGAAATAACTTGTTTCGCAATTGTTGCTTAATAAATAAATCTTATAGAGAAATTAACGAAAAAGAATTACCATGTATGCTAAAGAGCATGTACCTTTATACTGAACAAGGAAATATGATTTTTCCCATTGAGATCACGTCAGTGGCGATACAAATTTCCAATAGTCTTCCTCCTCAGTATATCTATCTGGATATGTTCACGTTCCATCATAGTCCACAACCGCGTATTTGCACCGAAATAAATGTCAAAATTGATATGGGGAGGTGCATTAACCCCATAATTAATTAGATTTCGTAATTTCTATATTTCTAATAATTTTAGAGAAAAGTCAAGTAATATAAAACATGGCATCTGCAATCTTCGTGAAGATTCTTGAAAAAGAGATGCATATTAATAATGCCTTTTAATACAACTTTAGAGTGAGACACGGAAGTGCGAAACAATTAATTAAACTAAAGCATACAGGTTTCAATCGACTACTTGAAGCTTTCTATGTGTATTACGCTTTTACACGACTGTTTCCATTTCAGTTCAGCTCAAGCCAGCTCACAAATAGTTTGCAATACTACTGCACAACACAATGGTGGAAATTGAGGCCTAAAACTACAACTGTTTTACAATAGTTTCTTAGATATACAACGAAGGATAAGACATTCAAAGTGTTTCCATCAAAATCAGAAAAAAACATTCTCCGGTAAAAATCAGATTAAAATTGAAAATGCACTAATGTCACCTATTAGAGGTGATTTGATCAGGCCCTCCGGAGTTATTTAAGGTCTGTTATTTGCCAAATATAAATAACGATTCGTTTTTAAATCTTGGTAAATGGAAGTTTTATTGAAAATTTGATAATTTCACTTCCCTCCCCCACTTTGACGATGAGCACACATAAAATCTGATGTTTTGAATGGAATATTATATGCAGCTGACCTGAAATTGACATCAGAAATGAACGAATATTCTGCAAAAGGGGCACTACGAGAAGGACGTGTTTGATGCTCGTTAGTTTGCCTGATGGTTCCATTGTTGTATACCTTGTTCTCATTTGATAACGTGATATTATTTACTATTGACCAAGGTTTACATAGCAGGTATCGTCGATAAAACAGAAGACGCTTACTCTTCTGGGACACCTAGTCTTAATCTTCTTGTATTTTTCCAGGATTCTCCGTGTAAATCTTTCTTTTGTTTATATTTTGCCCTAGTCTTATTTGAATTTGAGTTTGGATTACGTTGACATGTTAGTATTTTCTTGTTGTTTTTTTACAGACATTTCATCCTAAAGTCTCTCTATACGCAACCTCAACTTCATTACTTCATAAGATTATAACTTGCACACTGTGTGCTGCTACCGTGAATAATAGAATTATATTTTGCAATTCAGTTATTTAACGACAGTTTCCTAAACTGTGAACAACTTTTGTATGATAATATAAAAGCAAGTTTACAAATTGTTTTCTCTGAGTTTTACTCTCTCTCTAGGATTTTGTCATTGGAAAATCGTAAACAGCGTCTTGTGAAGCAAAAAGATGGTATTACGACATGCCATACATTCTTCATTTCCCCAATGCCCTGAAAAGTAAAAATAGTTTTGCCGGTTGCTGTATTTCATTTCGTTAAGCATTCCAGAAATTCTTACAAACTCAAGAAATGTATCGATGCTTGTCCATTAAAATGACAATAACTTTTGTGTGTGTGTATTTTCACTACTCATATATAACGCCATTTTTCACGGTTTCTCCTGAATTACTTAAATGACGTGATTCTGAAAAGGAAGACCGTGAATCATTAATCAACATTTAAAAGCCAGAAATGTTGTCGGATAGATTTTAATCGCTGATTTTTTTATTAAACAATATACATGTATACAAATTTGAAATATGCATTCATTTTGAAGGTGCTTTTAGTATTTTCAGACGTTGTGCTATTGGTGGTGTTATCATTTTGGGATGAAGCATGATTCGTAGAAATAACAAATTCAAATGATTTGAAAATAAGTATGACTTTATTGAAATGTTTCACATTATGAATACACATTTTTGTAGCGTTCGTGAACATCCATGACATAATCCCTACGCAAATCAAACTGAATTGTAAATACATACTAATTTCTATATCTCTAGTGTATCACAGGAACGCAGAGGATATTTTCTTTAAAGATGTATAATTCAAAATGCCTTTTAAAAGATCGATACAAAGCAATTGTCTGAAAATACGGATATAGGTCGAGCCACTTTGCTTCTTAAATATTCATTATCTGTAAACACACAGATCCTTTCAGTCATCATGGTTTCTTTTTAAGATTTGAAAGTTTCCGTATCTGTTTAAAAACAAATACAAAGTACAATACGAATGTTTCTTCCTTTGTGCTATGTTCATGAATCTCTTGAATTAAGAAAATTGTGAAATTTTCTATTGGTTAAAATAAATTATTTACTACCTTCTCAAAACTGAATCATGTAATGTACACTTTTATACAAAACAGAAAATCCCAGAAGGCTTAAAATGTTAGTTGTACTATATAACAGTAGCATCTGTATACTGCTATCATGATAACTTCATGAAAATAAGTGATTGTTGATTTAACAAATTTGATCTTTAGTAAATCATTTTGCAGACAAACACTGAGATTATTATACAATCAAAAATGATCTTGCCGACAGCAATGATTTTTCCGAGTACTGAATCGTAAACGTTTTGTACTTAGAACAAACATAATTTCTAGTATTCAACAAGGAAATATACACTTATCAAAGACACATGTACGATACATATTTCCTTATGAGTTGTATTGATATATTTTTGTAGCTTTATAAATATTGAAATATCATTGGAAAGGGCTTTTAAAATGAACAGGCAGTTTTGTAATCAGAACATTTCTTATGTTATGAATTAAATAAAAAGATGTTGAGGAGGTTACAAAAATCGTTTTATATCATTTTTAGATATATTGATATCTTGTCATTCAATGACACAATTATTGACCATATCCATTATTAATACCTACCAGATTTGAAAATCAAGAATACGATAGATATATCTACATCGGCTTTATCTCCATCTTTTTCTACAATGAGAGCAACAGAGGACAATTTTCTACCAAGCTGTATGATATAAGTGAGATATTGATTTCCCTAATGCAATTTGTGTACGTTTCTAAGCAGCATAATCTAATCTTCCAAACGGTATAGTGTTTACATGCCGCAGTAGTGTAATATAAATTTACATGTGCCCGACGCTCGTTAATACCCTTGGTGATATCGCTGTTCTTATTTCAGAACGTGACATGAGTAAATTGAATTTGCGGATGCTTTCGATTGAGTAGAATACTTTAACGCTTTCGGAATACTTATTCCTTATTTTACGAGTCTCCGCGAAAATCTCACTTTTGATCATATTTTTTGTCGTTTTTAAATTAATATTCCGCTGATATATCTGTGTTTTCTGTTGTTTTATTGTCAAATAATTGGATTTGAAATTGTGAATATAAGGATATGATATATAGATGATTATTACTATAATTATAATTATTATCATTTCTTGTAAATTAGCCAAAATGCTGAAGCCAAGACAAAATCTTTTCTTAAAAGGTGGAAAAATACAGATGGGTTGAATGCTCGATCTCAACTTCTATATAAACGTCCAAGATCGGGCAGATTTGATCGTCGGTTACCTGTTTTCATCAGAAAATGATTGACAATATTTCGTCCATAACACCTCACCAACATATGTATCATCCATGCATTGTATAAACCAGTTGGTGTATCAAAGCCGTGACAGGCAAGTGTGGTTTCAAATAATTTATTGATGTATGGAATATTCCCGCGATAAAATAGTTTATTGCTTATAGGGGAAACGTTTAATTTGGAAGCCACAATTGCAAGAAATACGTCATCAAATATAAAATGTTTCGTATACATGCTGGCTATATTAAAGTTTATAACGAAATCCATAGACATCAGAAGAGCACTTGAACTTACGAACGCAGGATAGACTGGGTAGGGATATTCCTCGGGCGAAATATACCATTTACTAACCTTTGACCTGAAGGGTGAAGGTCGCCAGTTAACCACGCCCATATACAAGTTGTCTAGTTTACCAGTAAACTCCAGAAGCTGAATCACCAAATCAGTCGCCACATAATAATCATCATCCACTAACATCACGTATTTCGCACCAAAACAGTTTTCTGAAGCCCATTTCAATCCACCACGTGATTTCCACGTGCTATTACGGTGGCTGTCCACTAAATTCATTTGTAATATATCTCCGAATAAGGCAGCTTCGGATTTCAATGCTGCATTAACATCGTTGCTATCGTTACCTTGACCAAAGATAAATATTCTCTTAACTGTGTACCCGTTGATGAAGGTGTTGTTAGTCCAAGTATTCCGAATGACATTTCTTCTCCTTGAATGTGATGATAATGATTTAATTATAAACAACAAATAAATATTTTGTTCAGAATTTGGAGTTTCATCACATTGACCAGACGGATTTAATATAAAGGAAAATGGGTACTTATTTATTTTTTCCTCGTCTGTCGTTTTCCCTTCCTTGTGTCGTTGTAAGATAACACGCATATCTCCTTTCGTCGGATATGACGCATTTTCAAATGGACTTTTATGCTTTTTAGTGAAATCAAAGCTCTGTAGGAGATCTTCTCTCGCACGAATATAAGACAACTCAGCCAATCTTCCCGTCATTTTAACCCGTTTTATATCGTTGTAGATATTAGCAGATTTTGCAGTCAAGGAACACAAATCCATATCAGAGTCCATACTCTCTTTACCTGTCGACATATCTCTGTAAGAAATGGTTAGGCTGACAGAGAAATATGCTAACACCACAAATATAACGATCATAGCAAAAATAATTTTCCGAAGGAGAAATCCAGTTATTAACTTATTTAGCACGCTTGGGTGTTCTAATGAGTTTGATGTCTTCTTTCTCTTGAAGTGAAAGTTTCGATCACCGCTTAAACTTCTTCTCCTAAATTCCCCAGTGGGCACTGGTACTGTTAATGTACTCATCCGGAATCGCTGTATCCTTTTCAAATTGTAGATTGTAACGTTAGTTTCATATGATTAAACAAGCTGATGCTCCTTACCATAGCAGAATTCATTTTGGTGAATTCTGTTAAAACTGTAATACCGTAACCTCAAGCGTGATGCAACACACAACGATGAAATCATTCTGCCTTAGTTACACAGTAATTATTTTCCAAAGTCCAAATTAATTTTTTCAAGGTTTAACATATTAGATATCCGAATGTCTTAACTAGATGAAGTGTAGAGCCCAACCTAATTTGTACTTTATATACTATGAAGTTGTATCAATACCTTTCCCCCGAAATTTGCCAGCGCGCATGCGCATACACAAAGTTTCACACCCAGAAAAGCATCACAGTAATTTGGCCGTACTAGTGGCATGTCAGGTTATCACGTTCGTGAGGTATTGCACGGCATTTGCAGCTTCACTCACACAATAAGAAAGCGTTCCATCTCATCACATTAATTTATTTTTCAAACAAACCGCTTTCTATCGTTAAATCGATATTGTGTACCGTAAAGTTTTGACACATTTTGCCGAATAATCAATACAATGCCTTTTTATTTTTACTTTTACAACAAATAGGCACCTAGCATACACGTGGCTTCCAGGTTCTATTTAGTATCAGGACCAGTTCTCATGACTTATTAATGAAAGTCAGTTTCCATAAGCCTGTCTGTAATCGATGTACAAATTCAATATTTTCTATCATTGATATAAATGCCAATATTATGCCAGGCAACAAATATGTAGATACATACAATATACACCACAATCACGGCATGCACTTCTGTGACGATCGATAATTTAAAATAAAAAATAAAACCCATTAACACGAACTCAATGAATTAACCACAGTAAATGTGCGCCTATTTTTATCCTAGGTCTTGTTATAGAGTTTTAATTTGATCAAACACTATTTTCATTCTCGTACATATTGGGTTGTCACGCTACCATTACAGAAGGAATATGTCTACTCTTTGTTGAGATATCATTTATCATATATAAGAACATTTTCTCTAGAAAAACCATTTTTTACATGTAGTAATGTTTTACTTATTTTTTCTTACTTACCGTTTAAACTTTGTGAAATATTTTGAAAAAGCGTTTGTGTTATGTTTTGTGGGATTGATTTCGTTGAAAAACGCTTTATTTTATTTGTAACTGTGAAACTCTACCAATTTTTGTTGTCTAAAGAGCGGTGTCTATTAACAGTAATATTTGTGATTTCGGAGAAAATTAGGAAATTTTACAAAAGATAATGAGCGAGAAAATATCTTTCCCTCAAATTATTGAAAAAACGACATAAGCATAATATAAGTGAAATTTACAACACCAAGGAAAATAAAGAAAATATTTTAAATAAAGAGAAACGGAATTTCACAATTTAATTTTTCATTATCTAACTATTGGCGTAAGTGTCTATTTTCAAATTTCTATGATGTACTCTTTCTATCAGGGCAACAATTTACAAACATCTCAGTTATCGTGAATAGTTGTCCACATTCCGCGAAACACTGTGAATCACTTATATTTCGCGTTGGGTTTATTTCAGCATTAAAACGCAAGCAGAGTCAGTCGCAAATTCAAATCCCTAACGATCATTTTGTACAGCAATAACTCTTGATGACATCCATATTGATTTGGTTATCAATATCGGAATCCATATATCTAAAAGCCTATCATTCTGCAAATAGAAAGTCATTTCTAGATCACCGCTCGCGAAATCATGTATTTGCGAATATGACAGAAGGTGCAAGTTCGCAAAGCATGATATTCGTGAAATATAGGGGATTAACAGTATCAGTGAGACAAACGTCTGGGTCGTTTGATAGAGGTCAGTACTTGTAATGATATGGTAGACTATAAGGTCTATACTAGCGGTATACGGTTGAAATATAAAAAAAAATGACAAAAGATAGGTAAAAACATTTACTTGCATCCGTCTAACATATAGAATTAAAAAAAATTAAATTCATTTGTTGGTCGTATAAAGATACAACATATTCTTTTTGTTTGTTAAGCGTGAAATTATTTAACAAAATCAGTAAAATTCTTATCAAGGAAACATGGTTTATATCATAATTCGTCGTGTAGTGGTTTTGTCTGTTTTGTTGATTGTTATTGAAATCAATTTTGCTGACAATGCATAACATACAGCGTCATCCGTAGTGATGACACCCACTCTTCTTGTAAGTATTCTTCATTTCTAAGTTTGTGTATCCTTTGCACTATAACTAATCACGTCTGTATATTTTTCATTGCATGTGCCAACTCCTCATTAATTAAAAGAAAATAACGAAAGTCTTGTTAAGAAAACGTGACTAAGTCGTGTCTGAATCGGATCCCCTTACACATCAATCACTTTAATAATGCATCGTCACCAGTAGTGAACAGGTCAGCGACCGCCACGTCGTTGTGTACTAAAGCATTAATCACTGAAACATCGCTGACGTCACTTGATCAACCTCATCTTCTATAGTAGTATATAAGATTACAGATTTGATTGGTGACTATTGTAAAGCCAGCACGGACAACAACAATGGCGTCTAAAAATAAATCACATTGTTAGCACTGAAAGAGTACAAGATCAAACGAACATAGGTATGGAATTAAGGGCATTGAGTTAATTGGTGATTTGAATTAATTAACCAGATTTGTTTAGCTTATATACTTATCAAAGAATTAAAAGTGAATGTACTTTAGTATTTATCTTGGGAGGAAGGTCATAGAATTTAGATGAATGATTACACTGTGTTTTAAAGACCGTATATCATTTTGTGATTTCATTGTTTGAACAATTTTACGTCAGTTTAAATTGCATTTTTATTTTTTTTCTATTCATTTTTTCAGTTTTAGCAATACATAGTATATGCATATGACGATTCAGATTTTTTCAAAAATAATTTCTAACCATTTTTAAAACTTTTAGCAATACATAGTACATGATGCATATAACGATAAATGATTGTTGACAAAGAGCTAGGTGTGTAAGATAATGAACTTATCAAATAAAATATCTGGAATATACAGGACCAACTAAAGAAAATCAATTGAGTCGACATTTAAAAAAGCAGAAAGAAAGAAATAAAAATCAACCACAAATTAAAGACAAGAAGAAAGTAGTGATAGGTATTTAAATCCTTTATTTACTTATGGGGCTGCTGCACCTCCACGTCTAGATTTTCACTTTTCTTTCGATCTCTTCGAGATTTTGTTCAGTAGCCTTATAGGCTTCAAAGTCCTTAGCAACAGCTGTATGATCAAGTTCATTCATTGTTTGGTTATACTGCATCTAACTCCAAATCATTAAAAGGTGCTATTCACGTGTGTGTCTTTATGGACAAATTGTTATAATAGTTTATTAAAACTAACAAATAATGTAACTTGATAACTTATCTTTGCTACGTAACAACATGTGGACACGTCAAAGGAACATACACTACGTTTTTACATATGTTTCAAACTGAAACCACTTCTGAATGGTTGTGCTTTATTTTCCAAATCCTTTTTTTATTTCCTTTTTATTCATATTTTCAAGGTTCCTGTTTTACACTGTTTCATTACATCACTAATTTTAGGACACCTGCTCATAACAACCTTAACATATTGTTGTATTATTTCTAAATAAGATGCAGACGATGTTTTACACATATATAGGATCTTTCAACAGTGTCGATGTTATATGGAATTTATTTGTGATAAACATATCATACGTATGTATGGCATGAGAGAACATGCCTGCTATGAAAAGTGTATTATCAAGATCCATCCTTTCTTCATAATATGAGTCTTGTAGTGTCTGAAAAGAGCGAAGCTTGCATTCCACAATGACATTCTTGACCGTATTAAAAAAATAAAATGAAATTTTTGCTAGCTGGTTAATGCTTCAAGAAGTGATGAAAATTTGGTTCCCTACAGCGAGTGATCGATCGCGCAATTATTGTGAGGTTGAAGTTTTGAGTGCTTGTGTTTATAGTGTGGTACTTTGAGGAATTTTAATGTCCATTTCATTAGTAAGGCAATCACAGTAATTCTTCTTTTGATTAACAATTAGCTACAGGTAAAGTGCAGAGGACCTATGCTCATTGCCTTCCACTTCTGGAAGCTCCATGCTTTTCACTTCGGGAGAAAATTTTCTAGGATGTACAAATTTTTGGTCCCTCTCATCTTCGCCGTGATTAAAACACATGTTACCGGTATAGACCTTCGCTGAAGAGCATCGCTATCATCAATGTTTCTATACATAAGATTAATCAAGTAGTTTTAAGGGACAGTGAAATAATGACGTCGTTTATTGATCGTTTTAATTTCAATAAAAAAAACTTTTTGACATCATAATATCAAACAAGGATTTGCTGATGATACAAAAGCAACTTCTTAATTGCGATGTTGTATAAAACGATATTAAATGGACACTCAGAAAATAACAAATAAAGAGATTAATATTCGAAACATGTATTTGTCTGATACTTGGAGAATAGTAATTCTAAGAATTTCTCCTGTGAGTTATTTTTATAGATTAGAACTCATTACGTCTTTTAAGTACGTACGACAATAGCAATGGGGAGATGGCTGTTAACTAGAAATCACTTGTAAGTCACTGATGAAATATCTGGAATATACAGGACCAACTAAAGAAAATCAATTGAGT